TACTACTATTAGTCTGTTAATATTTATTGTCAATTTCTCGCGAACCCAAAGGGTGTATAAAGTACCAAGCTTTTTCAGAACACATGCGATATATTGGTGTCTACAGCTCATAGATTTGCAGAGTCTGGTAGCGTGAGATAGCCCTGTTTCTTGGCCGTGTTCTAGTGAGATTTATCGCTAGAGACGGTTTGCGATTGGGCTTCATGCTGTAAATTTGCGTTTCCTTTACCCTTTTAGAAAATAAAGCATACTTATTTTATCGTCGTGGAAAGACAACTAACACTTGTAGCAGCAGGAAAATGGCTTGCATAGTAGTTAATTATTTTACTTAGACTTCTATATTTGTTTTACAAGTTTGAGCTTATACTGCTAGAGTATTCTTTTGTCAATTGAGAAATTTATACTAGGCAGCTAAATTAGAATTTTTAAGGGCTTCTTAAATTTAAATTTCTCTGTTGAGTTCTTATGAAAAATGTCATTTTTCAATATGCTAATTTGGTCAGGACCAAAAGGTCATCATATACGGATTTAAAGTGCCTATAACATTTCAAACAATTTACTGTGAACTGAGCACGTGTATGTGAACGAATAAAAAAACTTTCCTTGTGATGTGAGTGTGATGGAACTGAGTCAGTTTGGACCTGGCTCAAAAGTAAGTTAAGGTCAGAGTTTAGAAAATCCTTGGTCCTTCATCAAAATGTTGGCTCTTCCTAAAACAAAAATCTGCAATAAGAGTTGATAACTGTTTTCAATTGAAAAGGATAAAAAATGTATAGTTAATTTGAATTTTGATCGATTGTGTCGTTAAAAATATTTTTGAACCGAGGGTTTGGTGCTTGGTCCGGTCTTTTCATCCATTTTATTAATAAACTGCCAAGTTGTGTGCCTGAGTCTGACGGTCGGGTATGTTTGTTTGCTGATTACACCTCATTGTCGTAGTCAGCAGCATGCGTGCACGACCTCAGGATGGTCAGATCACCTCAATATTACATTGCTGCAAAAAAAACTTCTAGACTCCAAAGTTCTAGTGTTGGCTTACTATGGATTGGGTTTTCCTTTTATTTCACATGCAGTTGCAGTTTGGGGACATGAGTGTATAAATTCTAAAATAGTTTTTAAACTACAAAGAAGGCCATCAGAACAGTATTTAAGAAGCGTCGTAAATTTTCCTGTAAAACACTTTTTTCTAACTATAAAATTCTTTCTTTTCCGTCCATCTATATCTTAAACTGTCTTGTATTTGTTAAGAAAAATATCGACCTTTTTCAAAATTATATATATTCTATTATGACAACATTTTCTTTCATTGTTGATTGACCCAGTACAACATACTATATTGTAATTTAATGTATTGGTGTTCAATGTCCTTTACAGTAGTGTTTAACACTAACACGAATGAAGGCCAATGCAATTTGTTTTAAAACTAAACACAAAGAATGATTTTTTCAACTCTAAATTTAGTTAGTAGGCTAAACCAAAATGAATTTTGTTAATGTACTTGTGTGTCTAGGTACTTGTTTAAAGTGTATTGTTGTAAGACAAATTCATGGTGTTTCAAATGTGACAAATATATGTTGTAAGAGGTGTGCGGTGTTATTATAATAAAGAGTAAAAGGTCGAGGGTTTTGGTAAAAGAGGTTTAATTTATGGGAGAAATAATGAGTACGTGTTCTTATGGGAGGTGATTCGCGATGAATGAATGCAACAATGAAAATTGACATATGGTAATGTGATGGAAATTACAGATGGACTGTTAAAAACAAAGACATATAAAATTAATACAAAAAACAAAGACACTTGACTGAACATACCGCCCCCTTTGAACCAACAAGGTTCAACAAAAGAGAAATTGAAAAAATATAAAAATGTTATGAGAATTGACCAGAGTGGATTGAAAAAATATTTAAAGAATGCAGCTTAATGGTATGAAGACACTTTGAATGATGTTCTTGAATGAGGATCCAGCTGGTTTGTAGCTAGGAGGAGCTGGTGTGTTTTAGCAAACAGGGTCTACATTGAGGTTTTCTTTCTTGAGGCTCCACTTGAAACAACGCTGATGAGGGGTCTTAAAATATTCTTGACTCCAACGGCAGCATAGGCTTTGGGTGATGTCTTGAGGTAAATTATCAATAAGAGGTGAGATCTTTGTTGGGTCAGGAACAGTTGTCAGAGAAGATCTGATAAGAAAATGGTCAGGAGTAGCTGTCAGTTTCGAAGGTTTGGAGTTTTCTATAGCTTCTTTTTGTTCTTGGTTGGAGTGATTTCTGTTATCAGCCATAGGCTTAGTAGGCTTCAAAAAGTGTAGGAGTGTGTGATGAAGTTTCAAACAGGTCTTACAAATATTAGTAGACTTGCAGCGTTTAACAAAGTGATTACCAAGACAATTTGTGCAGCGTTTTAACTCGCGTACAACTTTAAGCATTTCTTGAGGGGTTTTACTATTAAAGACAGGGCAACTGTAGATTTTGTGATTTTTATGGCAGCAAAAACATTTCAAATCATTTAAAGTACATATCAAAGCCATAGGAGGATGTTGAAACTGAATTGATTCATCAATTTGACGTGGATCATGGTGAGGGTTGGATATTTGGAGAGGAGCTACTTGTGGAGCGTGACAGAGAGAGGCATCTTCACTGTTGTTACAAAAGTTTTTAAGAAATTTGATTATTTCACTTGCTTGAGGAAAATCAGAAGAATTTATGCGTTTTGATTCGAAAACTAGACAGAGGTTGGAATTCATTTTTCGTAAGATCAACATACTTAGTAGGTAGTTGTCTTCCATGACATTATAGTCAAGAACACTAAGAGCCTGTTCATTTTCATTAAACTCATTTAAAAATGATCTGAGGTTTTTGATAGATTTGTCAGTAATATTGGGCAAATCGACAATTTTACTGAGGTGGACAGAGATTAGCCTACGCTTCGAGTGGTATCTTTCCCGTAAAGCATTATAGGCTACTGTATAGTTGCCAGACGAGATCGGTAGGGATTTGATTAAGTGTAAGGCTTCGCCTTCAAGTGAACTTATCAAGTACTGGTGTTTTTCAACAAGGGATATTATCCCTTGTTGAAAAACATAATCAATATGGTTACAGTAGCTTATTAAGCTACTGTTGTTGTGGATAGTAGTATCAAAAAGGTTAATGTAGGATATCCATGTTTTAGTGTCACCATTGAAGGACTTCAGTTCTAGCTTGGGCAATTTTACTATGCTAGTGGTAGGCCTAGAAGTTGGGTTTGAAGTTACAGAGTTATTTGACAAGTGTTCATCATTAAAGTTCTGAATTAGAAGGGAAATTTCGGTTTGAATGTTAATTGAGAGTTCTGATATGTCGTTCTGGAGCTTTAAAATAGCTTCTTTACTGTCAGAAAAAACGTTAGTGTCGTCATCAACATCAAGAAGCTTATTTAGGTTCGATTCAAAATTGGGAGAAATTGTTTTAGCTTCGTGCAAATAAAGTTTAAGTTTAGCAGTTTGAGCTTCTGTTATTTCTGGTGGACAAGATTGAATATACTCACTGATCGTATTTAATTTATTTGATTGATATTTGCATCTATTGGAAAATGTGGAAAATCTCATTTTGCAAGTTAGGCCTAGATCGTTCAATGAGTTAACTTAAGTAAGTAGTCTAGTTATTGTAAATGGATGGAGTAATTTGAGGATAAGGACGACTGAGGAATAAAATCATGGTTTCTTTATTATTTTCTTGTAGGTATTGATTTATTGTTAGAACTTACGATGAGATGCGATGAGTTGTCTTCATTGTCTTCGAAGAATTACAAACATAACCTTACTTTTGACATGACGTTTGAAGCTGAAGTTGTAGACGAAATGTCGAAGTGATGAATGCGGAGCGGTACTAGCAGAACGATGACGATATTGAACACTTGGAATGAGAGGAGTGTGGACTGTATCGTGACGTAGATGAAAAGTTCAAAATGGCGATGCGGTATTGTCCTTGGTGGCTTCACGATGGATGAAATACGTTTAACCGAGACATTGAAAATAAACTTGAGAAAAGTCGCACTAATTTTCGTAGATATAATCCGCGGTTCGATAGGACCAAAAATCCGCGGCTCGAAAGGACCAAAAATGTGCGGTGTTATTATAATAAAGGGTAAAAGGTCGAGGGTTTTGGTAAAAGAGGTTTAATTTATGAGAGAAATAATGAGTACGTGTTCTTATGAGAGGTGATTCGCGATGAATGAATGCAACAATGAAAATTGACATATGGTAATGTGATGGAAATTACAGATGGACTGTTAAAAACAAAGACATATAAAATTAATACAAAAAACAAAGACACTTGACTGAACAAGAGGTGTAGAGAAAAACAAGATGAGGAAAAAAAGGATGGTGCTGGGAAGTACTAATTTGTGTACTTAACGTAACTTCTAACGCATAATCAAGATTAGCTATTTTTCTGTAGTTCTGGATCAAACCATACCTGAAAATGGGGATTCCATATCATAAAATATCGCAAAACTCTAGCTAAGTTGTGTTTAGTTAGATACTGTCAAAAATAACACCTTTTGTTTTTATTAAATTGTTTTACATTTGTTATATAAACAGTTTGTTGGTTGAGTATATGTATGTTTTTAATAATAAATTGTACCGTTCAAAAAGCTAAGTAGCATACAATACAATTTTACAATAATTTAATATGGTTACAGTTCAAACTATGCTCTAAAGGTAAATCGTTTGAAGAGATCATTGTCTAGTAAAATCATTCTCTTTTTGAGTGTATCTTTTTGAGTGTTTTAACCTTGATAATTTTAATCTTTGACAAACAGCCCACTTAGACTCAGATACTGTATCAAAGTTAAAGAAGTCTTACCTGATAATATTATCTTTTTTCTTATCTATTATTAATTCGGAAACTAACACTAACTTCATTGGTTCTAAGTATTGGCAATCAGAAGATGTATAAATGTTCAAGTGGTAACCGTTATGTTTTGGTAAGCTTCCATAAATACTGTGTAACTGTGTGTTGTGTGTAACTGTTAATGTTTTGTGTTAATTGTGTTTCAAAAAGTAAATGTTGTCCATACTTAAAAGATAACATCAGAGTCAAAGTACTGTATTTAAGTGGCATTTCTCTAGCAAATTATTGCAAGTGACTATAAAAGTAGGTTGACCAATCTTTGTGGCTTTTTGACAGTTAGTTATGTTTTAAAATATTTCAAGTGATATTTTAAAGTTTATGAACACAATTAGTTTGTCTAATATTTTTACTCCAACTAAGAATTTATTATTATATTCGTTGACCTGTATAAAAATAAAAAATATATTAGCTCGCGTTCTTGTCGCCTACAAATTTTGCAATCAATTTTAAACTAACTTCCCGATGAGTTACAGACTTTAAATTTGAAAAACAGCTCTCAAATTAATGACAATGCAATATTATACCCTTTTATTCGCATATTTCCCTTGGGCTATGCCCCATGGGTTTTACAAGTTTCAATATTTACATTTTTAAAGAATGTAAGTAGTCAAATATATCAATTGAAGTCAGCTGTAAATATTTTAATTTGAAAGAATGTTCAAAGAGTGTTTTTTAGGTTCTGCTCCCGAGGGATTCTAACGTTTTATGATTATAAGAATAGTAGCTTTTCGTTTACAATTTTGAACTGATTTTGGATTAGGATTTAATAATTAAATAAAAAAAATGTTATTACAGATAAATGGTTTTGTGTATGTATGTCTATGTAATATGTCTAACAGGTCATATAAAATATATTTAACATATTTACACATTAAAGACTAAAAAGAAGAAAATAATTTATAAAAAAAACTTTTAAAAATAATACGTTATTAAACGCACTAAAAAGTAGAAAATAGTTTATAAATATGTGGAGAGAATAAATACTTGAAGATTTAAAACGAAGAACGTGGAAGGCATGCAATAGATAATTAATAATGAGTGAGTCGCTGTCAAAAGGAAACAAACAAATTCACACAGTAAATCATGTTATAATTTACATCTATTGAGGTTCGAAATAGCTAATAACTCAACAGGTGAAGAAAATCGTAAATTAGCTATTGCATGCACCCCACATTTTTCGTTTTAAATCTTACAAGTATATATTCTCTCCTCATTTGTATAAACTATTTCCTACTTTTTAGTGAGTTTAAAAAAGCGTTTTATATAATTTTGTTTATTAATTATTATTAATAAATCTATAACAAGAGTTACAATCCCAATTTATAACATTGTTCTGTATATAGATAAAGATTAAATTCGGTTCGTGTTTTATGAACAGTTAGTTGTACTGGCTTTACACAATTCAGAAATTGTACCAATTTGAATATGTTTCCCCCCAAGTATAGGCAGTCATTATATTAGCAGCATTGTATATACTACACTACATATATCTTTTTAGGATTTGATGCTAGAATACTTGGTATCTTTGTCTTTGACAAACACAAGTTAGATGGATTGTGTTATTTTGTGTGATACACCAACATTATAATTATGATAGTTATTTGATGCTTGGCTTTTATTGTTATAATGATTTCTAGTTCCAAATTTCATAAATATTTGTTTAAAACATAGATAACGTAAAAATAACACTCAGCAACAGTGACACTAATTTTTATGTTTTCTAATTATTGTGCACTCAACTTTTGATTATTTAATTACTAGTAGTCTTACATTTTGTGTGCGATAAAATAGCACTTAAACATGGTAATTTTCAAATTTTTCCTTTTATTTTCCATTGTAGTTTGTATATGTATGTCTCATCAGGCCTTCAGGCCTTACTGAAATAAAATTCACAACTGTAGGCCTATGCCATTTATTTAGGGTAAATTATTATAGCTTTGATTAATGCAGGCATTCTATACAATATATTGACCTCTTAGGCAAAGTATGAAATGGAGTAATAACAATAGTATTTTATACTCTTTTCTTTTACTAGTTATTGTGTATAATGGCTATGCCCACAGGTGTGTCAGACAAAGTATAAGTTCAGCAAACCAGTCACTAAAACTTACAAAAACAAAGATGCATTTCCTCTTGATTTGCAAACAAAAAGTCCAAAGAGCACACCATGCATTGACCAAGTACAACATCTAAAAAAATACTGTATTAATCTGGTATGCAAGTAATTGAAAATAAACAAGCTGTTAGCCCGTCCTGCGCATGGGATTCGAGTAGTCAATTAAAATTAATATATTTCAGAAAAGCTAGTTAAGAAACAAAAAGACAAATCCTGGAAGTTTGAATTGGGAAAATCATCTTTTAAAAGAAATGTCAAGTGACAACAACTTTTTTCATCTGATCATAGGCCTATATGATACGCATTTTAAATACTATAATTTTACAACAAAACAGCAATTGTGTTGATTTCAAAAGCCTTGAAGTGAGATTGACGGCTGATTCATAAACACCGTTTTTTAGTACAATAGCTACACACAACGAATACCTTCCATTGAATACTATCGATACTTTATCTTACCTCCATGGCCACTGAAACCTTGGCTAGGTGATTCTGGCTTACCATTCTCTTCCATCCCCTGCCTTTCTAATGTAGATCCCGGTCTGGATATGCCATTCATTACTTGGTCTTCCAAGTGGTTGACCTATGTTACTCCTTGGAATACATTTTTAAAGGTTGGTGTATCTTCTCTCCACTATGCACAGTCCACCCATCCGATCCTTTTATTTTGGAAAGGACCTCTATATCTGGGTGTTTACTGTTTATACATTTCTCTTAACTCTATGTTTAACCTCTGTTATCTTGAAAGTTTTCTCTTCATTCTATTATAAAACCCAACAATAAGATTTTTCGTTTTTTTTCAGTGCCCAAGATTTTGAACAATACAGTACTACTGGGATAGTTATGGTATGGTATGAATTGATTTTAGTTTCTACTGACACCTTGCAGATTATTGGACAGTTTTCCTAAGACCAACTACGCTGGTTGACAATTAATTTCATTACTACCAACATTTTGATATGCCTACATACACACATTCAAACATCAAGAAAATAAGTATCAAGACGTAAACCACACATATAACTTAAAAAATTCAACAATAGTTTGTTGAAAATTATTTCCCAAACATGAGTTAAAATTTTATAGCATACACTTATACTTTCACGGATAACATTCACTACAAAACTGGATTTTATGCATGTGTTTGAGATGTATAGTTTAAAATTACACATTTTCTGATACCGCAGATCCCTTACTGGAGGAAAAGAAATTTTAAAAGTGAATTAGTAAAACAAAGACGATCAATATTTATGTAAACAATTTATAACATAAACATTTAGATGACAGTTATTAGTTAAACTAGCCCAGTAATAAAGCTTTCGTATTCTTAAAAAAACTAGAGAACCCGTGTGGCTCAATGAGCCGCATAGTATGAAACATAACGCCGAGGAAAACGTTATGTTTAAATTCGAGTAATTCTAGTTACATCTTAGAGTTGTTGAAAAACTTGTTTGAAACTAATTTTAAATATCTGTATTTGTGTCGTCAAGGTTCATCGTACATTATTTCTGTTCTCAGTTTTAACTGATAACTAACTTCTTATGAATGCTGAACGATCTGCTTCAATTCGAGTTAACATAATGCTACAAAGCTTTTTCCTGCATTGAGAATTGAAGAAAACTGTCGCCTTACTGATAACCTGTGTTAAGTAATTTAAGTTTGGTCATTTTATTTCTTTGATTTGAGACATCCCCCTAATAAAACGAATTTTCTCCGTAGAGAATCCTGAAAAGTGGGGTGATTAGTATCAACCATTTAATTTTTACCCACAAACTCTGGGTTACGGACAGCCGTAAACTGTTTTGAATGGGATAAGGCAGCAACACCATTGAAAGTTGGTTAACGTATTGTCTGTCAGTCACAGTATGTGCCTCGCATCAGAACGTTCTCACGTTGTTCCGTGTTTGAAAGTATAGATTCATTTGTCGAAATAGGTTGGATAACTCTTGTAGCTATAAGATTTGGATTGCAATTTTCATTTTCTACTTTTGAACAGCGTATAATATTTTTGCCACTCCTGTATCATAAATATAAACTTCACCGTAACTACTCAATCGTTGAATACATAAACACTAATTCCTTCACTTATGTTTGGTTTAATATTGCCACTAAAACTTTCAATAGCAAATGAGTTTTTGAAATTTCTTATTTTTGACTTGAAATGTCTGGATTGTGTTGGTGAATTCAGTCAACAAACCGTGTATAAGTTTGTCCGAGGAACTGGAAACATAACCTAGAAGTAAACAATCCATTTGCGTTTTTCTCAATTGAAGTAGAGTGAGTAATACAAAAGTTAACAATAAAAACCACCAAGATCCACCAAAGATCTTGGTCCACCAAGATTTGGTATAATCTTTACTACTTTAACTTATCACAGTCAAGGCATCATTATAGTTTCTAATAAATGTTTTGAAATATCTGGATCTGTCAGTGTCAGAAGTAAAAATTTCTTGTATGCAATCATTTCATCTGACTATTAGGCAAGTTTACTTTACCACCGTGACAACACTATGTGCTTCGTATATTTTATCACTTCCAAAGTAAGTTGCATAGCAGAGCTGGCAAATATTATTCATTTATACATAAACAACACAAAATGAAGAAAATATTATTCATCTCACCAAAGTAAATAATAATGTATCTGGATGGGCATCTGTTAGACCAGGCCTCTCTTTTTCTACCCTCCTCATACGCATAAGATGCCCTATTATTAATTGTATCATCCTCCCGTTTTCAATATTTCTTCTTTGATCTTCATTTTCTGTTCTTCCAACAAAACTGATTAACTGTTTAACTTGGTCTTAACCTTCATTACAAACATTAATATTTACTCCCAAAAAGCTTATCAGTTTCTTTTTTTAAACAGCTGTTTTTTGTTTTTAATTTGTTCTATATATTTCTTATGGGAAAACCCCGACCTTTGAGAAGTTCTCACGCCCTTATGAGTATGAATTTTATAATTATAAAACCTTATTGCAAAATTATATATTAAGACGAATCTTTTGACACCTTAAACGTTGAAATTGGTCTACAAATAAGGGAGGAGTTGCGTTAACAAAACGGGCTTCACGTATTATATATACAGAGTATTTTTTTTTTTTTTAACTTGCATCTTTATTTATTTAAAACCCGCAATAGATAGAAATATTCAGTTTGTGGGATTGTCTATTGACGTTGGGGACTAACTGTTTTGAATTCAACGTTACATTCACATTCCCCCCCTTTCCCCCTCTGCCCCCAACAATTTTTTTTTCAATAGCAAGGTACCCCTTGTGATATATCAAATGAAAGAGCATGAAAAAATAAAATGGTTAGTGAAAAAATTATAAAATTGGCTTATAAATTTGTGAGATACATGACCCCCCCCCTCCCCGGAACTCTTTTTTATTTTGATAGCAAGGTACCCCTTGTGACATATCAAATGAAAGTGCGTGATAAAAGAAAATGTTTGGTTAACAAAATTGAAAATCGGCTGATGAATTTGTGAGATAATCCCCCCCTTCCACTGCCGATAACTTTTCTTTATCATAGCAAGGTACCTACCCCTTGTGACATATAAAATGAAAAATGAATTTAACTAAACATTTTCTTTTTCCATGCTCTTTCATTTGATATGTCATAAGGGGTACCTTGCTATTAAAAAAAAGTAATTGGTAAGGGGAAAGGGGGGGGGTTATCTCACAAATGCATGAGCAAATTTTCTATTTTCTTTCACCAAACATTTTCTTTTTTCATGCTCTTTCATTTGATATGTCACAAGGGGTACCTTGCTATTTAAAAAAAAATAAGTTGGGGGCAGATGGGAGAGGAGGGGAATGTGAATGTAACGTTGAATTCAAAACAATTGGGCCCCCTACGCCAATAAATGATTCCCGCAAACTGCATATTTCTTTCTATTGCGGTTTTACATAAATAAAGATGCAAGTTTAAAAAAACAAAACACCCTGTATAGATAATCAAATACCATTAGCTCGGTTGCCTCTGAACAAAACAGCTGTAACAACACTACTTGTGACATTGCCACTTCGAAGGCCGTGGTTGGACTAGAGTTGGAGCTAGTCTTTCGCCCATGTTTTTTTTAAGTATATAGACACGCAAAAAATAATCCAGACTATACAAAAATGCATGCATGGCAAAAGTGACTAACACAAATCTATGTTAATCACCGATGGTTTAATTTTTGTGTTTTTGTTACAGATATAAATGTAAAACAAAATAACCAAGACAGCATCATTGGGACAAAAAGAAGTCAGGAGGCGTTGCCAATCAGCATCAGTACGTCAACTTCTGTAAGACTTTATGTCACAAGCCTTTAAGCAAAAATAATTAGTGATGTAGAGTACAAAAAAAAAACATAAATAATAGCAAATTATGTTTAAATAAATTTTCCGAATTGTTTAAGACCACATTAAAAGATGTACGATTCACAATTACTAAGTCGTGTAAAATACTGGCTTACAGAAGCAAAACATGACTGTTTCTTTGTCCTTGGCTTTGATAGTGGCCCAAAGGAGAGGATTGGAGCTATTAGAGAGATTTTAAAGGGTTGTAGTACACCTTTAAGATCCATGCTAGGCGATGGTGAAATGGCTGAAAAAGGAGATGTCCGAGTGACTGATGTGGAACCAGAAACATTCAGAAACTTTTTAAAATGTATCTATGGAGCAAGTCATCTATTAATACCTAAGCTCACTTTTGAGGATAAGGCAAAACTTCTCTATGTTTATGAAAAGTACTTGGTAGATGATTTAAAGTATGAACTGATTAAAGATATGGTAGAAACACTTTCACTTGATAACATATTAATTGCTATTTCCCACCCAGTCTGTCATGTAACACCAAGTCTCGAGAGCAAAATGACTTCAATTGTGATCTATAATCTAGAAAGATTAGTAAGTGATGCTAGATTTTTGAAGGTGAACAACAGTGGAATAAAGTGGATACTACAATTGAACCATATTCCAGTCGAAGAAATTGAACTTTGGAATGCAGTTTTGAAATGGGCCAAATCGAAAACAAATTCAGTGGAAGGAAACGTTCTTCGTCAATACATTTTTGACCTTTTAAAATACATTCGTTTTTTGACAATGAAAAACAATGAATTCTGGAATGGGGTTGTTTCTACAGAAATTCTTAACAAAGAAGAAATAAATGCTATCTGCAGTTCGTTAGTATCAGGTAAACTCCATGGCTTTAAGTACTTGAGTCAAATTAGAAGAAATCGCTACGACAAAATTCCTGCATCCCAATGTATAAAAAGTTGTCTTATAGAACATCCCCAGTATCCTTACAAACCTCATTTTGCACATTTCCACTTCTCTATCAGTTTGGCAAACTTTATTGAGGCAAGGAATCAAGCATGGTCCCAAACTCATCCCTGGGCTGGGCATTTTTGGTGCCTCAGTGTTGGTAGACGTGAGGTTGAACAGAATGACTATTTGCAAGTATTTGTTTATTGTAATGGCAAAACTGAACAATTTAACTGTAATGTTGATGGTGAAATAAGTCTCATAAATCAGTGTGGAAAATCTGACGTAACCCGTAAGCTTACTTATGTGTTTAGCTTAACAGAGTTTAACCAAGGGTATAGACAATTTTATAAGTGGGATGCTCTACTCAATGAAGATAACGGATTTGTTAAAGACAACGGTGTTATTGTAGTTGTTAAACTTCAACAAGTTGAATCAACTAGTTCTAGTTGGACATTGACACAGGTTAATGAGAGTAAATGAACATTTATTCCTTTGCTTTATATCTTGCCCTGATTAAGGACCATCCCATGTACAGTAGAACCTCTTTAATCTGGACCTCCGTTACGTACGTCCAATAATCCTAATGCCTCATTTCTATACTCTGTACACAGTGCAGAAGTTCTTAATTGTATACTGTATTTATTGATATACACAACGTCATTGTTTCTATTGTAATGTACAGTACTTTTTATTCACTATGTTTTCTACTGTATTACATAAACACTGTAGTTTACTTTATAAAGTACTTTTCACTTTTCCGGTAACAATTACGATCCATTTTAATCACGTTTTAGCTATTGTTATATCCGAACTATTCAATAGTCCGAACTACCCCCAGTCACAATTAGTTCGGATTAAAGATGTTCTACTCTAATTGAATCTACAATTAAATTTTGGCAACAACCCAAGTTGCTCCAACTGGTGATCATTACTGGTTATTTTTATTGAAATTTTCTATGAAAAAAATTTCTTTCTTTGTTGATTGATAATGTATTGTAATTCAATGTATTAGTGGTCAGTGTCCCTAACACTATTGTTCAAAGCTAACATGTAAATTTGCAGTGTGTTTTTAAACCAAACACAAAGATTGATTTTCTTAACTCTAAATGGTGTCAGTTACCAAAATATGTTTTCTTACTCGTATATACTTGTGTGTATGTACTTGTTTAAAGTTTATAGTTGTAAGAAAGTGTTATGGTGTTTCAAGACCTTGAACCTGATGTGTTCTATATGTTGTTAGAGGTGTAGAGGTAAACAAGATGAGGATAAGAAAAGGATTGAGCTGGGAAGTTCCAATTTGTGTACTAATTTTCTTAACTTCTAACACATAATAAATATTAGCGCTCTGTAGTTCTGGATCCCACCATACCTGAAAATGGGGATTTCATATCATAAAATGCCGTAAAACTATTGCTAAGTTGTGTTGAATTAGATAGTGACAAAAATAACACCTATTGTTTTTATTAAATTGTTTTACATTTGTAATATAAACTACAGTTTGTTGGGTGAATGTATGTATTTTTTAGTAATAAATTTACTGTTTAAAAGTAGCATACAATACTGTAATTTTATATAGCTGTAACCATACATTAAGGGTCAACCGTTTAAAGATATCATTGTCTAGTAAAATCATTCTCTTTTTGAGTGTAATAGTTTCTCGACCTTGAACATTTTAAATGAGCTTTGTGAAACAGCCCACTTAGACTCAGATACTACAATTAATTGGTTTTGTCTTTTTAATGAATAGTAACGTATTAGATCACAGACAGTAAAATATTCACCTTTATTATAATTTTATTTTTTGGTTAGTATATTGATCAAGAATAGACAAACCACATAAGAATATCCGCATTCAAAGATAATTAACTATTTCACAATGAACAATAAACCAAATATTATTTTGCTTGTGTGGTAATTATTAGTTGAACGATGACCTTCAATTTACGAATTTCTATTTGATGATGTAACAGGGAAAATGTTTCCATAGATAGTTTTTTGTAAACTCACTGTCGTCAACTTTAAAAGCTTGCGTGATAAACAGAAGGAGCGAAAGTTAGTCTCTAAGGTCAGATGATTATTTCAGTTGGAGTAGTGTGTCAAGTGGTTTTGGAAATGTTTAATACATTCCTACCATAGAGTACGTCCTATAATCTGTGACTTGATGGCATAATAACCTAGACTGACATAGTTTAATGTTGGCAATACTGTGGACACTTAACCTGGTAATGTTCTCTGTGCATCTGTCAAACAATAAATCTTCGTACTGCGAGTTTGTATAACGTTTGCATTTAAATAAAATATATGCATTTTAAGCCTTGTGAATTGTTTTTCAAATTTATTTATTACTGTTTATATATAGTAGCAAGAATAAATAACATTGCAACATGTCGAAAATACGTGTTTGTCTATCAGGCCTCTTTAATTTTAAGTTAAGACCATTTTAAAGTGTTAAATGTTATTGTAATGATCGGTTATATTAAAACGATGAGTTCGAAAAATTTGTGAAAAAAAGAATACTTATCTTTTTTCGTAACGTTTACCTTAAGAGTTTACCTCTTTACTTTGAATGTGTTTTACACTCTAAAGAACTTTCCCCACCACAACGCAGTACGAAAGATTAGTTTCAGCCCTCAAGTAGCAAAATTCCTCTAATCGTATTTGCCCTTAAAGTAGGTTATTTACAGGAACTAGGAGTAAATAACACATTTTGCTGACCGGCAAATTTATGCCACCTATTGCGTCGTTGAAGGAGGCAGTCCCCCATCAGATACGAATATCATGACCAACTAAACTGTTACTGTAGGGACAGCAATTGGAATTGTTATTCTGCTGTGAAGAATATTGTTTTACCACACTATTTAGTGAATTAAAATGTATACCTGCTTCTTGACTAGATAAAATAAAAATACATCAAACAGAAAAATAAAAAAATACATAAAAATACATAAAAAGAAGAGTTGTACATCTTAAATAATCATTAGCAGCAGTGTTAGATAAAAAAATATACATATCGTGCTTTTAGCTAATGCTTAACCAAAAGAAAGTATATTTTCTGTATTCTTGCTCTGTGCCTTTTAGTTTTTTGGCAAAATAAGCCCGGTCGAAATCATGCTTAGCCTGCTACATCAACTAGTGTATCTGTATAAGAAGTGTATCTGTATAAGAAGTGTATCTGAGATTATATTTATCTTTGTTACGTTTATGTTTCGATCAATTATTGTAAAGAATCATATGAATATGCACATAATTTTTGTTTAAAATAAAACATAGAACACTCGGCCGCACTACTGGAATAGTTCAGTAAAATAGCACTGTATTTTTTCATTCCTTCATGTGATTTTTATTAACGATTTATAAATACTTCAAATTTAGCATATTGTCGATGTTGTGTTTTCAACAAAACTATTAAGTACAAATTTCTTCCAAAACTACGAACAATTTTGTAAAAAAAATCAAGTTGCTATAAAGAGGCTACTTATTAGCTTTTGCATTATTTGCTGTTCATCAGCATTAAAACCTGCATTAGAATAAACCTTTTATTTATCATCAAAATGGTAAAATTATATAAGGATTGGGGCTACATAAAAAAAATAAATTATGTACCATTTGACATGTTTACGAGACTCTAATAGATGCTTTATTAGAGTCTGAACAATTGAGGGTCAAGATCTTTTATTAAGGACACCGTTTTATACCATGTAACTTTAGATTGTTTGACTTGAAAAGCTTTTATATAAGTTCCAGTGATTGAGAGTCTACAGACAGAGCTTATATTTCCAATTACTTGCGACTTTCGCTATAACACACAAAGCTTGAGTTGAGCTACGTTCTCAAAGTCTAGATTGCTTCCCAACTTGGCCTCCAACCAGTGTAGGATCTCCCACAATATTGTAGATGAATTGTTATTATATTAATTAGTGCAATAATATACGTTTGAAAGGGGGTCTTTACGCTATTAGGGGTTTCTATCTCATGCAGATTTGATTTTATGTTGACATCCTTGTTTACGGAAAGTAAATAAAGATAAGTCTTATAACACTTAAAACATATACAGGGTGACAAAAAAGTCTGGAAACGGTTTAATATCTTTTTAACTAAATCCGTTAGAAAATTCAAACCTTTCACATCAACTTGTTTTTCATATCTATGAAAACCACTTTTTGAAATCATTGCCATTATTTGACCTTCACCAGGGGACGGCCCACGAGGAGTAGGTACATAATCTTTAAAGTAAGCATAGGTTGATATGCACACCATTTTAAAGGGCTGGTTAAGTGGAGCGCATTACCGGAAACCGCGTCAAAAAAGGTTCATCCGTTACAAAATGGCGGCAGTTCAAAGTTTTTGCGGAATATACCTGCAGAGGCCTCAGTATTGGTAAATACTCATAGTCAACATTAGCAGGGAAGTCTGAAACCCGGTTAAATTTGTTTTGATGATTGAATACTATTAGTCTATGAGCTATTTGACTTAAAAATACAGTTTAAGCTCTCAAGCTAATGTTTAATACGAGTATTTGCCCATACTAAGGCCTGTGCAGGTATATTTCACAAGAACTTTGGACAGCTGCCATTTTGTAACGGATGAACCTTTTTAGACGCGGTTTCCAGCAATGAACTCCACTTTACTAACCCTTTAACATATGTGCATATCAACCTATGCTTACATTAAAGATTATGCACCTACTCCTCATGGGTCGTCCCCTGGTAGAGGTAAAAAATTACAATGCTTGGAAAAAGTAGTTTTCATACATGTAAGCTGATGTGAAAGGTTTGAATTTTCTAACGGATTTAGTTAAAAAGATATTAAACCGTTTCCAGACTTTTTTGTCACCCTGTATATACGCTTAACACCACTTACCATCTTTTGTATATTTACCGTCTTGTGAGTAACAGCATAAGCGTAAATATATGTTTTAAGTGTTATAAGACGTATCTTTATTTACTTTCCGTAAATTTAATGACACGTATAATGCTGATCAAGAAGTTATCCTTGTTTAATATTTTTAATCTCAATTAATAAAAGTCGTTGGTATAATGATCGTTGGTGATGTGGCTTAAGCCACACTCATGCACCCACATAAAAATATGTTTACCCTAAATAATAGATAGAATTGCTTCTATTTTCACTAATATACTACAAAAAACAATCTTATCCTCATTAATTTTTAAATAAAAAATACAGTAACATTTGTATTGAGACGCTATAGCTGTTTAGGTCAAGCACTTCAAGTAAGTACGACTAGCAGTGGCTGCCTTAAAGCTATCAATGTACAAGCTTTCACCATTACAGCCAAATTGAACCTTTCAACGGTAACCTTTCTATATTTAGCTTTGTCTGACAACGCTTAGTTTTACTAATAATGTACTTTTAAGAGACAAAATCATATTCTAACAGGGATTTAGCGTCACTATTTTTGTTTTACTTTCCCTAAATCGATTTCAATTTATAGTAGGCAACAACAAACATGTTTCTAGGGAGCAAGTATTTAAAATTAAACCGAGCATCATTACGTAGACTAAATAGATTAATATGTTTTAAATTTTCCACCAGTTATCCCAGGTACTCACCAAGGATTGTAACTAGAACATTTTAACAGTCCCAAACGTCATCGGAGGTTAACTAATACGTGTACAGGGTTTTAACTTCTAAATTGTTTTACAGGCCAGACAGTTACCTGAGGTCGAGACGTGTGTGGGGCTAAAATAACTTCTTTGTTCAACCAATATAGACAATTCATTTTGTCATATTAGTTTACTTATTGGTTCGTGGTTTAGTTTCGTAAATCATATTTAGGCTATTCTCGGAGTTAGAATATATTTTTGTAGTTTCTAGGTTAAGTTTACCTACACACTTTTGATGAAGTATTTCTTTGCTTACATAAGTGTATTCATGCATATACTGTATTATATTTCACTTATTCTTACCTTTGAATCTTCGATTGATGAGTGCAAATTACAAACGACGCTGGTTTAAGCACAAATACTTCATTTAAAATAATAATTAATTATCTCCAAAGGTTGTAAATTAAAAATTATTATTTTTATTTAATTTATTTATAAAGATGACGTCGAGAAGGTTATAAATGAAGGTCCATCTTTTACAGGATTGTCTTTTAACTTAAGTTTATTAAGTTTCTTAAAATAATTAATTCCTTATGTACTTACCAAGTACTACTAGTAGTCTGTTAATATTTATTGTCAATTTCTCGCAAACCCAAAGGGTGTATAAAGTACCAAGCTTTTTCAAAACACCATGCGATATATTGGTGTCTACAGCTCATAGATTTGCAGAGTCTGGTAGCGTGAGATAGTCCTGTTTCTTGGCCGTGTTCTAGTGAGATTTATCGCTAGAGACGGTTTGTGATTTGGCTTTATGCTGTAAATTTGCGTTTCCTTTACCCTTTTAGAATATAAGGCATACTCGTTTTATTGTTGTAGAAAGACAACTAAAACTTGTAGCAGCAAGAAAATGGCGTGCATAGTAGTTAGTTATTTTACTTAGACATCTATAGTTGTTTTACAAGATTAAGCTCATACTTCTAGAATGTTCTTTTTTCCATTGAGAAACGTATACTAGGCAGCTATATTAGAATTTTTATTTTGCGGTTCTTGAATTTAAATTTCTCTGCTGAGTTCTCATGAAAAATTTCATTTTCAAGATGCTAAATTGATTAGGACCAAAAGGTCATCATTTTATACGGATTTAAAGGGCTTATAACATTACAAACAATCAACGGAGCGTGTGTATGTGAACGAAAAAAAACTTTCCTTGTGATGTAAGTGTGATGGAACTGAGTCAGTTTGGACCTGGCTCAAAAGTAAGTTAAGGTCAGAGTTTAGAAAATCCTTGGTCCTTCATCAAAATGTTGGCTCTTCCTAAAACAAAAATCTGCAATAAGAGTTGATAACAGTTTTCAATTGAAAAGGATAAAAAATGTATAGTTAATTTGAATTTTGATCGATTGTGTCGTTAAAAATATTTTTGAACCGAGGGTTTGGTGCTTGGTCCGGTCTTTTCATCCATTTTATTAATAAACTGCCAAGTTGTGTGCCTGAGTCTGACGGTCGGGTATGTTTGTTTGCTGATTACACCTCATTGTCGTAGTCAGCAGCATGCGTGCACGACCTCAGGATGGTCAGATCACCTCAATATTACATTGCTGCAAAAAAAACTTCTAGACTCCAAAGTTCTAGTGTTGGCTTACTATGGATTGGGCTTTCCTTTTATTTCACATGCAGTTGCAGTTTGGGGACATGAGTGTATAAATTCTAAAATAGTTTTTAAACTAAAAAAGAAAGCCATAAGAACAGTATCTAAGAAGCGTCGTAAATTTTCCTGTAAAACACTTTTTGCTAACTATAAAATTCTTACTTTTCCGTCCATCTATATCTTAAACTGTCTTGTATTTGTTAAGAAAAATATCGACCTTTATCAAAATTATATATATTCTATTATGACAACATTTTTTCATTGTTGATTGACCCAATACAACATACTGTATTGTAATTTAATGTATTGGTGTTCAATGTCCTTTATTTACAGTTATAGTGTTTAAAACTAACACTAATGAAGGCCAATGCAGTTTGTTTTTAAACTAAACACAAAGAATGTTTTTCTCAATTCTAAATTTTGTTAGTAAACCAAAATGAATTTTGTTAATATACTTGTGTGTCTAGGTACTTGTTTAAAGTTTATTGTTGTAAGTTATTGTTGTAGTTTATGGTATGGTATGAATTGATTTTAGTTTCTACTGACACCTTGCAGATTATTGGACAGTTTTCCAGAGACCAACTACGCTGGTTGACAATTAATTTCATTACTACTAACATTTTGATATGCCTACATACACACATTCAAACATCAAGAAAATAAGT